CTGCCCCAGCTGCCTGCGGGCAGAGCCAGCCCCGGGTCCAGACCTCCCTCCGCTCCTGGAGAGCGGCCCCGGAGCAGCTGGCCCAGGAACGCCCCGAGCGCAGCTCACGCAGCCGGTGCCTGCGTCTCCTGCTTCGCAGCATAAACATCCTCCTCCCTCTGGCTTTCGTTGGCTGACGTGTGTTTATCCAGCGGGGCTGCGCGCCCGTTTGATCCCAGCACAGCCTGCTTCAGGAAGAGGGTCTGTCTTGTTTTATTTGCTTGAGATTTTTTTTTAAATTCCGCTTCAGTTATTACCTGTTCCGTTCTTGCTTAATCAGAAGGGCAAGGAGGTCAAATGCCCACGACAGCCAGGCACGGCCCTGGGACCGAGGAGCATTGCCGGCGCTGCACGGCGCGTGCTGGCAGCCAGCTCGCTCCTCGCAGAGAGCGTGAGGCCCTTCGGTGCGCGAGAACGCCGGGCTTTGTGCGAGGGATCCTGCCGAGGGGCCGCGTGAGCCGGTTCAGTCCACGCGGCACGGAGCGGTGTCAGGCGGCTGACGCCTCCTGCCGCTCCGGCCTTGCCGCGCTGCGTAGGCCGGTGGTTCATCTCCCCGTGCCTCAGTTTCCCTGACGTTGGCTTGCTGTACAGGACGTACTGTCCCTGGGTGAAAAGCACAAAGGGACACTGAAAGATGAGATTTTTTTGGTAAATATGAAGAATATCTCGTAACGTGTACGTTGCATTGTGCTTCCCTCTGTTGCAGATAGTCCTTCAGACTCTGTTAGCCTTTGCAGTTACCTGCTATGGGATAGTACATATTGCAGGAGAATTTAAAGACATGGATGCCACTTCAGAACTAAAAAATAAGTATGTTTTATTTCTTCTTTTCATAAACACCTGTATCCGCTGCTCTCTGTACAAAGTGAACTCTGTGAAGGAGCTTGCTCTCTAGCTCAGTTCTTCTTAAGTGCGTGTTGTAGACAGTAAGGCGGGGGGAGCAGTCACGCCTGCGAAAGCCAACAATGTCTTGAATTTCAGAGAGAGTTAGGTACCCGGAACAAACTAAATAAACTCTTTGCTTTTCCTCATCCAAAATCCTGCTGTGCAGAGTTGGTAGAGGAATGAAATGCCGACGTGGGAAGTAAGAGCTCAGCAGTCACAAACTGCCGTCGTGAGATGGTCTCGTCGACTGCGGGGCAGTGTGCCTGGCTCGCCCTCTGCTGCTCTTTGCTTCTGTACGAGAGCCT